GTCGCCCCCCCGGGCGGGGAGGCGGCGGCTCGCGGGACACTCACCTCGTAGACTTCGTCCCACTTGGGGCTGAGGCTCTCTTTGATGACCTTGCTTTGGAAGATTTGGTTGCCAACTCGGATAACCCCGTAGGGGTCCGACTTTCCCTTGACGAGCCCCTTAAGGTAAGTGTCTTTCCCCTGAAGGTCCTGAGCCTCGATGAAGTGGATCCTTAAGACACCCTGAAAGGAAGAGGACGCCCAGCTGTGTGCTGACCCTCCGGGGACAGCGGCCCTGTCCTGTGCCTCAGCAGGGCAGGCGGCAGGCTCCGGCCGCCAGCCCCGTGAGGACAGCAGTGCGGGGTGCCCAGGCCGGCCGAGGAGCGGCCCTGGCGGTGCGCAGGGCGCGGGGGCGCGGGGGCCCTCAGGCCTGCGGGGGCCCCGACCACTTCACGCCACCTCTAGAACAACCCTGCGACGCTGCCATGAACAGAGGCTGTGGAGCCGGCACTGCTCAGACGCTGCCTGACAGGTAAAGCTGAGAACATGCCCTCAGATTTCTGTTAAGACAAAGTGGTAAAACTGTCTTTCCACAGGGCTGTGTTCTTACCCCAAACAATCTTTTTAAAAGCTGCTGGGTAATATTCTGACTTCATCAGCAAAAGAAAATAAGAGTTTTTAAAATGCCAAAAAGAACTTAAAAAGCTCAATCCCTTGTTTCTATTTTTGTATGTCGAAAGCTTAGGTAATCCGGCAACATACTCAAGCAGAACTGGCCGAAGCCCGGGAAGGAAGGGCGGTTGCAGGTCTGGTCCCCACGTGCCAGGCTCGCGGAGCCCAAGCTGCGCAGGAGCAGATGCAGGGGAAGGGCCCGCACCCCCAGAGGAAGCCCCCAGGGGAGGCATCCCTCCTCCTCCAAGCCCCACCGCCATCATCGATGGCCACAACGTGACGGGCTTGGGCTTGGAGCTGCTGCGGTCGGGTCCGCGAGAGAGGGGGGCCGGGAAAGCGGCCCCCCTCGCGGGAGCAAAGCCCCAAGGGCCACGGCGCCTGTGCCCCACCTGCAAGGGGCACCCCCGGGGCAGCCACCAAGCGCCTCGGCCTCGGTTGCCTCGTGGCCCAAAGGGAAGCCCCATGCCGGGCCCACACGGCCAGCCGGCCCTCCCCTGTGACCGGCCGCGGAGGAGGCAGGCAGATGCCAGGGCAAGCTGGGGCCTGTGCCCCCAGGGCTGCGCCCGCCACCCCCCAGGACCCAGAACGCGGTGCCCAGCTGAGAGGGCACCGCAGCCCCGCTGGACCAAGCCTGCGCTCAGAAACACAAGGCCTGGCTCCCGACGAGCCTGAGCTGCCCGTGTCCTCGGGGCCAGAGGAGCCTCCGCAGAAGGTGATGTAACGGGCACCTCTGGCCCCGGGGCCCCAGGACGAGCTTTCCGCCGGAGCTGGCCGGCGGCCGCCAGCACACCCCCGCCAGCACGGCCTGCCCCGCAGCGTGTGCGGGTGGCCGGCGCTGAGACCCACTGACCTTTGGTATCGGGAACCGCAGCTGCGCGATCTGGACCTCGCTGACGAGAGGCACCGTGATCCGGTTGGGGAGCACCAGGTAGTTCGAGATGATGTCCAGAATGATGGTGTCTGACAAGCCGCTGCGGGGAGGGCAGCGAGGGCGCGTGGGAAGGCCGGCAGCTGTGGCGCGAGGGCCCGCGCTTCCCCGGGCAACGCCGGCTGCTGGGCCGGGCAGCAGCTGGGGCCACGGGCAGCCAGGAGCCCGCGCCCGGCCCGTCCCAAGGCCTAGCTGACGCGCCACACCTCCACTCAACTTGCTCACTGACGTCGTGGCGCTGAGGCCCTCCCAGGGCTGCGCCTGTGTGGGCCGCAGTGTGGACGCGGCCACCTGTGCGGCTAAAGTCAGGTCTGCAAACTAAAAGCTCACACCCCAAACCCCTCAGCCCCTGGGAAACCAGCGGAGGGGAGGTGGGGGGCAGGAGAGGGCATCGAGCTGGGAGGGGGAGGCGCCAGGACGGGGGTGGGCGCGGCTCGGACACCGAGGCAGAGCTGTCCCCAGAGCTGACGGAACCACAAGTCAGTGGCGGACCGACAGCATTCGACGGATGCCCACCAGGGCCGCAGGCGGCAGCACCCCCGGGACGGGCACCCTGTCATCAGACGGGCTGGCACCGACTCCCTGGCCTGCAGCGCAGACGCGCATCACGCGCGCGCCCCAGAGCGCAGGGACCCCGGCCTCCGCTGCTCTCCCGGGGGAGGGTGGCGGCGTGGGCTTTCCCAGCGCCTCTCCGCCTCCGCGGGCTGGGAGCGCCCCAGGTCTGCTCGCAAGAACCACAGACCTCGGCCCAAGGCAGGCGGGCACACGGGCGTCATCCCGTAACGGCTGCTGGAGCCGGCGGAAAGCTCCGAGTCGACTGAGGCTGGTCCCCGGCGCGCAGGCAGAAGGCGCCCGGGGGCGTGGGGGCGTGGAGCCGCGCTCAGCTCGCTTCCGGCTTCCGCGCCGGCGACAGGCTTCAAGCCATGTATTTACTTTCCTGAACAGATGCTTGTCGTGACGAAGCCTGGGTTATTAAATCTCTAGCTCTTCCCTGACCTCAAACAAAGTTCTTTCTAACGGACATTTCAGGATGTAAACGGCAGACCCAGAGAGTGCTGGTGTCCGGCCCCGCAGCCAGCACCCGACTCCTGCTGGTCCGCGTGGCGGTGCGTGCCGGGCCGTCTCCTGCACAGCTGGCCGAGCTTCCGCAGCGTGACTCCGAGGCTCTCTCAGGAAGAGAACGCCAGAGGCCAGCAGCACGCGAGAAGCAAGTCCCTGCCCCGGGACAGGACGGCGGCCCAGCGGGCCCTGTGCTTCGCTGGCTCCTCGCAGGGATGTCCCTCATACTAGATTTTCACAGGACGCTGAGGGGACTCACAGAGCTCCGGGCAGGGGCCCCGCTCACCGGCTCCTGCCGCGCCCAGGCCCCTTCAAGGAGGCCCGTGAAAGGTGTGGGGGGGGCCTCCTGGAAAGAACCCAGGAAGGGCTAGTTTTGTCACATACACACACTGAAGCTTTATTCTTCTGGGCAAAAAATAAAGCCCAAGCTTGAAAATCCACAGGAAGGGGCCCTCCCTGGGGTGCAATGGGTTGGAGTGCAGCGCTGACTGCAGCCGCTGCAGCTTGAGTTCCACCCCCGGCCAGGGAGTGACCCACAGGGCAGCAGACCCCTCCTGTCTCCCCGCTGCCCCCCTCAGCAGTGGATTTCGGTCAGTCTGCCTGTTCTCCTCCCCATCTGTCTCTGGCGAACCCTCTCTCACCCCACTCCCCGCACCTCCGGTCTGCACCCCAGTTCTTGTGTGCATAAATGAATAAACCTTTAAAAAAGAAGGAAAATCTACAGGAACTAAAAGGCTGCTGGTTTCCCGAGACACTCAAGCTGGAAGCTGCCACGTGGCGGCCAGAAGGTGACACCCGCAGCTCCGAGTGACGTCCCCAAGCTGCTGACCTCGGCGCAGGGGTCTCAGGCCCATCACCCCTGAACTCAAGCCCCGCGAGGAGGCAGGTGCCGCCCTGTCAGGAGCACAGGCGCTGACCAGGCATAGGCTGGGCCATACTTACTTCAACCCAGGGATATCGAGAAGGTTGGTCAGTCCCGTCCAGTTAATTTCTAAAAGCTGTTTAAGAAAAAGGAGGGCATCAGCAACGCAAGTCCAGTGACCAGCAAAAGCACACGAGCTCCCTGCTGGCAGAGGGCGCGAGCCGGCACGCAGCCGCGGCCGCCTGGCCTGGCCGGAACATGGCCTGGCTTTGTGTCTTGGGCCCCGGCACGGGGTTGTCCTGGTAAAGCTCGCGACAGCTCACTCGCCCACCCCCCGGCGCCTCGGCGCGTCTGCAGCTTCTCTTCTGCTGCCCGGGCCGCCGCGGCCTCCCCGCCTTCCTTGCGCACGTGCGGATGGATGGCCGCGCAGCGCGTGGAAGTTAGGGTGCAGCACATGCTCATGTCTGGCATCGACCCTACCCACTCGCCCCACGAAAAACTACTGTGCCAACTCACATCCCACCGAAAGGCCTGACATGAAAACCCATCCCGGCCGGCGCATTTTCCTGCCCGTTTCCCAGATGGGGTTGATCTTGGATCACGTCCTACACGAGTTCCCGTCAAGAGGACGCAGACCTCACTCCCGGTCAAACCCAAGCACCACGCGATTTCCCTGTCACCCGAGTCCTTCAGTGACGACGCGCGCTGTGGCTAGGGAAAGTGCTAAGTGAAAGGGCAAGGTCTTCGCCGCCCCTCCGAGCTGACTAGCAAAACTGCTCAAACTCCTTGGGAAGTAGCTGGCTATAAACAAACAAGAAGCGAACAGCCAGGATGCTTCTGGATGGACGCAGACTGAAAAGCAACTGTTTTAACAGTGCGGAAAGAATTGCTTCAGCTGAAGAGAAATGAGATAAAGATATAAAAACCATGAAGGGAAAGGTATGTGATTCTACATCTGGACTGCCAAGATTCTGAAGCGCGCTCCCCTCCCTCTTGGAGAGCAGGCCTTTAAAGCAGGAACACCCAGGCACCAGCCCTGCCCCAGCACCCCAAATATGGCCCTGGAATGCATGTCCCCTCGGAGGAACCGGGGTGTCGAGAAAACAGCTGCTTTCGGGACCGGGCCCTGGCGGTCGGGGGGCCGGCGGGGGAGGCTGCTGGACGGGCACCGGCGTCGAGGCTGGGGCCCGCCGCTACCCTCGTGGGGGGGGGGGCGATCCTGCCCGCCACAAGTGTGGGGGAGAACGGAACTCGGTGGGGCTTGGAGAGAGGAGACTTGAATGCAACAAAGAAGAGCCAACAGCTCTGGCTCCAGGCCTCGGCCAGCCGGGGGGGCCTCCCGGGAACACATCGAAACCAGCCCGTGAGCAGGCCTGGGAGTCTGGCCCACTCTCGGGGTGAAGACACCCTAAGGATGCCGAGACCCCCAGAGACAGCACACCCAAGCGCTGTGCAGGCCGCTTGCGCGGCCACGAGCTCCTGGGACGGGTCGGTGGCACCCTGGCCTCTCCAAACCCTCACGCGCTCGGGGGCTCACCACCACGGAGGGAGCGCACGGGCGCGCCTCTGCCTGGGCACGCCTGTGAGCCAGCGCCCTGGGCCTGTGCCCCGTGAGGAGCATCTCCGCAGCCCGGTGACAGAAGGGCAGCGGAGGCCAGTGAGGACAGTCCCGTGACCCCAACTGCCCTTCACCGCACACCGACCACCCCCTTTCTCCCTGTTCAGCTCTGTCGAACCGGCGGCGCCTGGTCCAAACTAACCTGCCCAAGCCAACAAGCAGGAAGCCCGCAAAGCTCCGCGGGTCTGCCTCTAGCCCCGAGTCATCCAAGAGTCACCCGGCCCCGCGCTGCAGCCCAGCCGGGACGCGGGAGAAGCCCGGGCAGCTGCAGCACCCCGGGCTCATATTTTCCAGCTGGAGTAAGGGAAACACGCCCTGCTCCCCGCAGCGCCCGTGCTGGCCAAATAAGGAAACGAGCGATCCTGGGTCGTCCGCTGGATCGTCCTGCGGTTCTGAGCGCTGACGTGTCACGGGAAGTCACTGCTTTAGTTACTCTTGAAGTGCACAGTCCTGTGGAAGGCCCAAACCAGCCAAGAGTACCGCTAGCCCTTGAGGAAGAGCTGAAGATCTGGGCTCTGTTGTACCCTCCACTGAAATACAAAGGCCTCGCCCTACAGCGTCAGAACATTCCCTGCAGATTCACAGTACTGAGCAGCTGGCGCAGGATCAGGTTCTCACGCTGCCAGCGCAGGCGGCTCCAGGAGCACGCGCGGCCCAGGAGCGCCGTGTGCCAGAAGCAAGTGGACCCGGCTTTCACGAGCCTCTTCTCAGACTGGGACAGAGGCTCCTTAAGAGCTTCGGAATTTCGTCATATTTTGTGTCATTAAAATATTTCCAAAATGCCAACAAATGTAATCGAGCAAAAAGGAAAACAATGAACAACTATAAACCAGAGCCGTCCTATGGGGGTGGGCGGGGTTCTGGGCTGGGAACTGGGGTGGGAAGGGGGCACTGGACTGTGGGAAGGCACATGGCGAGCTGGTGGGGGGAGGCCCGCGGGGGCTACAACTGAGATGGAGAGCTGCACAAAATGAAGAACGATGTGAACAAAATAAACAAAATACTTTCAAAATAAGCTTATAGCGTAAGCAGTAAAAACAACAAACGAGAACAGTAATTTTGGCGGCGAGAGAAGATGACGAGAGCGCGTCCCGTGTTCCAGACAGAAGCACCGCTCGCAGCTGCGGCTGGATACGCCGCTGTAAAACTGCAACCACAACAGTCTGCACCGAGTCGCGCGCACTAACGTTCCGGCGGGCCTGGGCGCTCACCGGTCGGCGCTGGAAGCAGGCTGGAGCCACCGCCCCTCAGGACCCCAGCACCCTGGCAGCAAAGCACAAAGACCTGGCGGGAGCGGCAGCCTGGGCGGCCTGCTGAGGACGGCCGGGGGGGCCGCCCTGGGGCAGGGGGCCGCCGCAGGAACGCTGCTTTCGCTGGGCTTGTAGTCGCGGCCAGGAACAAACGCTGGCTGCTGGTAACAGGAAGTGGGAGAGCAGACACACCTCGCCCGCCAAACACTGCCGCTTGTTACGGTGCACCCAAGTGTGGGGATGCTAGTCAGCAGCTCATCACACCTGCAAGGGTGGGGCTGGAGCGGGGCTCGGGTGCGTGTCCCACGGGAGCAGCCCGCGGGCGGGGCCGGGAGCCCCGGGCAGGCGGGCAGCGGCTGCCCCGGCTGCAGAGGGGCCGTCGGAGCGGCTGGCCGGTCACACTAGCGGCAGCTGCCGGACGAAATCTGTGACTACCTGTGTTTTAAAAACAGTCGCCTGCAGATTTTCTGTGTCGTTTTCATCATCAGGGAAGAAAGCTGTCCACGAAGAAGTAAAGGCAAGGAGGAGCGTGAGACGCAGGGCCAGAGCTGGAGCGCTAAGGTGGGCGAGCCCTGCGGACACCCGGCACTCACCGGCTTCCGCAGGAAGAAGAGCGACAGCGCGCCCACCAGCGGCATGTCCCCGATCAGAGGCTCCAGGATCACCCGCATCGTGCCGTGAATCTGCGTGGTGAAAGCGCGCGGGTCACGGAGGGGCCGGGCGGCG